ATAGAAGCGGTTCCCATCCTTCGTGGTTGATCTAAAGGTCCACATACATCGGTATGTATTAGGTCCAATAGTCCCTCACCCCTTTCACAAGTACTCGTGAAGGGTGACTTAGTCATCTTTCCAAGTAAACAAGACTCGCATGTGTCATCTTCCCTAAGGTCGAATGACTCCAACACTCCATCCTTTTGGAGTTGGGCTATGCGTTTCTTGTTGACATGTCCAAGACGACAATGCCACAAGGATGCTTTATCCATACTAGTGGAAGAATCAATATTCAAAACATCATTTCCTAAGTTATCAACAATCATAACAGTTTCATATATTCCATTACATGGTATAGCTTCAAAGTAAAAGACACCATTTAGATAAGCCAAAATAGAACCATTCTCATTATTAAAAGAAAATCTAAATCCTTGTCTATATAAACCATGAAATGAAATGATGTTTCTAGCCATTTCTGGCGAATAGCAACAATTGTTCAAATCTAAAACTAAACTATTCTAAGCACTAAAGAATACACTCCAATCTTGGTCACAGGCGACGATCTTCTGTTCCCCATGATTAGATTGATCCTTCCTTGCTCCACATCCCTACTTCTTCTTAGTCCCTGCACATTAGAACAAATGTGATAACCACAACCGGTGTCAAGAACCCAAGAAATAGCATGATTAGAATCGTTAGATTTGATTGCGTATATACCTGCGAAAGATGGCTTGATCTTTCCTTCCTTGATGGCTTGCAGGTAATCCGGGCAGCTTCTCTTCCAATGTCCTATCTTGTGGCAGTGGTGGCACTCTGCCTCCTTCGGGTTAGAGCAGGGCTTAGAGGGATCAACTTTGGTCCCACTAGAAGAGGAACCATCTCGGGCTTTCACCTTGCGATAGTTTTCGAAGAAGCTTTCCTCTTCTTTCCCTTCCCTTGACCAATAGCCAAGACAGGAGCAGCGGATGGATTGGGAGTTGGTGCAACAGACTTGTCCTTGAAATTGCTCTCAGCAACCCTCAAGAGACCTTGGAGTTTACTTAGAGTGACCTCCTCTTTGTTCATGTGGTAGGTCATCCTAAATTGGTTGTACATCGGAGGCAAAGAGTGAAGCACCATGTCGATCGCCAAGTCTTCGCCGAAGTCAACATTTAACTTGCGAAGGCGGTCGACATACCTTTGCATCTTTTGCAGGTGCACGGTAAGAGATTCTCCATGACCCATCTTAGCGGAAATCATGTTAGTGAAAATCTCGTAACGCTCTTGTCTCGCGTTTTGGTGGTACCTCTCCAACAAGTCTTGATGCATCTCGTATGGATACATGTCCTCGTAGGACTTTTGGAATTCGGAGTTCATGGTGGCGATCATGATGCAATGTACCTTCGTTGCATCTCGCTCATGAGTTTCAAAGGCGGTGATTTCTTCGGGAGTAGCAACTTCGGGGTTGATTTTCTCGAGCTTCTCATCGAGGACATACTCTTTATCCTCATAGCGAGCAATGGTGCGAATGTATCTTATCCATTCGCTAAAGTTCGTTCCATCGAAGGTGACCTTTTGGCAAAGGCTCATCAACGTGAAAGAACTAGCAGCAGCGTTGTTTGCGTTTGACATCTATAGAAAGGACAAAGATAGATTAGAATAAGAATCCCTAATTATCACCCAATAAGAAAATTAGGGCTAGGATCCAACAATAACATTTACATACTAGAAAAGGGATGCCGTAATCTAACATGCAAATAAATTGAAGGTAAGTGAATGACGATTCACTAATTCTCCATCACAAAACTTAAACTATTAGTCCTAAGTGTTTTTGAGAATTCCTAGGTTCGGATGAGATTCATTGAACTATTCAATGGCATGTTTAAATCTCGATATGCCCCTCTTGTTTGTGACTGGGATGCCGAGGATCACAAAGCGGGTGTGAATTACCATGCAAATTCACATGGTGCCTTCATTGTAACGATCACCTATTCGATGTGCCGGTAAACCACACACGCTCCATCGAACTATGATAAACAATGAATCACCCTTTGCCACCTTCGCTTAGAACCAATTAGTGTGCCGGTAAACCACACACGCTCCACTAACATCTTAGCAAGGTGCAAAGTGTAATTTCATGGGATTGCATCAATTCACTTTTCCTAAAGTAACTAAGATTGGGAAATTTTTAAAAATGTTTAGTTACTTCGTATTTCTTATTATACTTTTAATGAGAGGATGAGGTTGCCCTATCCTACCCGTTCGGCTAACGACCCTCCACCAATCAAGCAAGCGGTGGGTGTGAGTGTACACCCATTAAGCGCCATTTTATAGGCCGCAACCTTATACCCACCTTATAGATCGGCTTCGTGAATGAGGCCTACTAACGGTAAGACTAGCATTTAGTTATACATATATATATTATACTAGTAATATCATATTAGTATAGGGTTGCATTTTAAACTTTTCAAAATCTAGGGTTTGAAATTTAAGTTGTCTAAATTAAAACTTTTAATCACAAATATAAATTTCAAAACTTTAGGGTAGGTTTTAAACATTTAAAACATGGAGGATCAAATAACAAATAATTCCAATTAACAATTAATATTCTAATTATCTTTATTTGATTTATCTTGATTTCTTTCAAGATAATTACCAAAATAATTAATCATTATCATATAAGGAAATTAAATATTTTATTAGATGATAAATATCTTTAATTAGATCAAGATAATAGTCATATTTATCAAAAAATCGGATTTAGATTGATCTAATATGATTAAGGTAAGTTTCCATAAGATAATTATGAAAAAATCCCGAATCTGGCCATTCCTGACGCCTGGACTCGCCGAGTGCACAAGGGGACTCGCCGAGTCAGGCCTACTCGACGAGTCCACCTTGGAACTCGCCGAGTCAGTGACTCAAAACCCAAAAAATCGAATTTTGCAGGTTTGTTTCAGTTAATCAAGCAACAATTTAAAGAAAACCAAGCTAGGCTCTGATACCACTGATGGGTTTTAGCCATAAGAACTTTCCTATGTGCGCATGCAAAACCCTAATGCTTGGATCTAGGCTTTCTAATAAACATGCTTTTGAATCCAAGACTTCTAATGGCTAATTAGGTTAAATAAAATATTGAAACAGATCTAGAATCATACCTTTGAGTTCCTTGTTGATCTTGTTTGTCTTGGAGCTTCTAGAGTCACAAATGTCACTCCTCTAATGGCTTACAAACACCAATAGCAAGCAAGATGATTTAGGAGAGAGGAGAGGGGAGGAATTCGGCCAGAGTTCCTTGCTTAAGGTTGTGTGTCGAATTCCCTCACCCCTAAGGTCTATTTATACTTGTAGACTCCTTAAGGGTTTCAACCTAAACCCTAATTGGATAATCTTCTCTTAAGGCTATCCAAATCCATTCCATAGATAACCCTACGGACGATTTGAGCTATCCTAAAGCTCTTAGAATCCGTCCAAGGTATATCCAAATGGATTTACAGTCTAAAGTCTAACTATCAAACAATTGACAGTTTATACCCTCTTATTTAATTAATCTCTTTAAGTCACCAAATTAATACCAATTAATTTATGACTTATATTAATCAAATAGCCAAATATTATTTCTTATAATATTTACTCTCTCTTAACAAATCATCCTTCAAGTTACTATGGTGAAGGCAACCCAAAAGGACCATGCACAACCGAATATAGTTATAGCCTTAGACACTATTCCAACAGTATAATCATCAGCGAGTGTCATCAATGTATTACACGATCATTGTGTCATCAGTGTAGGACCTTCAACGTATGGATACACTGATCAGTCTTCAATGAATGGTGTCTTCGTGCATTCGGTGCTGATAGAGTCTTCAGGGTATTTTTCTCATCAAAGGATGATCTTCAGTCTTCGACATATGAACTTCCATCAGTATATCTTCATATTGACTAACTACACAAGAGACAGATCAGCTTGTCTAAGTTGTATTATTTACACTTACTTAGACAAGACTGTCTATCTACAATGAGCATATAAATTGTAACTATAATGCATATATTTTGTATCATCGAATCTATACAAATATGTGATCCAACAACAATTTTCTTGCACTTTCCTTTTTCTTCTTACATTCTTTCCTTTTTTTTCTTTGCTAAAACTCAAGAACTAAACGTAAAATCCTAATTTATAGGAAAAAGGTAATGCCTGAAGTTGCAGAAATACCATGAAACCAAGAGTAGTTATGGGAGAGAGGGAGAGAGAGAGTAATGGAGGTTGAGTTAAATGCACACAGTTGTTTTAGAAACTTATTCGGTTTCATGCTTGGGAGGTTGACAATTGAGTCGACTCATTTCCTTAGCCATCGTATGGAGAAATAGGGCTCTCCATATGGTGTTCATTGACCTATAGAAGGCGTATAATAATATCCCCAGTGAGGTGATTTCGAGGACATTGTAATCTAGACAAGTCCTCGAGAGATGTCATAACTATGTGTGATATGTATTGCCGGTCTACAACATGTTTTCAGACCGTGTTGGAGACACATTATCATTCCCGGTAGAAATTAGGCTCCATCAAGGTTCGACCTTAATTTGTATATATTTGCCTTGATATTGGGATGAGATGTCTCGTGACATGGTGGGGAAAGTACCTTATTGAATGCTTCATGTTGGTGGCAGAGTGTAGGATTATGTTGAACGCATGGTTGGACACCTAGAGGTCAAAGTTAGAAGAGAAAGGACTACAAAATTAGCATCAACATTGTTAAGACAAAGTATCTTTAAGGTCTATGACCCGTAAAGAAGAGGATATGGAGGTAAATGTCACAACTAACATTAATATGGGTTGTTTTCAAATGAAGGGCAACCTCAAGAGTCTTGTGCGAATTCGAAAATTTTATAGAGTAGTTGTTGACTTGTCATTATGTCTTGTATGTTGGTCAAACAAGGAGCATGAGAGAGGAAGAATCCCATTTTTTTTGTTTGCCTCATATGAAGGTCCTCTTATTCTTTTGCTTATATTATTATTTAGTATTTACTCATGTATGTGCTATTGTTCAGATTAACTTACCTTCTCTTTGTTTGCTTAATTTACACATGATTTTCGTTTTGCACAGTGAAGTAGGCGAAGAAAATTCAAGGCTTCAATGTGGTCAGTTTGAGACTTGTAGTTGCTGTTGTATAAAGGTCAAAGAAGATAGAAGGCTTTCTAGTTCTATGTGTCTATTTTAGCCGTAACGAGGTCTAAATCTAATGCCGACATTATTTTTTTTATCTGCGGTCTATTTTTCTGTAACGTTGGCCTACCAATAAAACGTAATAAAAAGTTGAAGTCTGGTTGGTAAGTGCATGTGGGTCCATTCTTATCCTTATCCAGGATTGGAATATGGAACCCTCAATATCAATGGACATGAGAGTATGATCCATGTTACAAAACTGCACACTGGTCTCGAAAATGAACCAAACAAAACAAAAATGGCCACCATATCTCCCCTACCAACTCTCTCCGCCTCCGCCTCCAACAAACCATCTGTTCATGGTCGCACCACGTCGCCCTCACCTACACTTCAATTTCTGAACCAGAACCAGAAGAAGCGGGGATCTCTGACTGTGGTCTCCGCCGTGGGTGATGTATCCTCCGAAGGCACAACTTACCTGATCGCCGGCGCAGCTGCCGTCGCACTGCTGGGAACAGCATTCCCGATACTTTTCTCACGCAAGGACACGTACGTTTAACAAATCTTATCCACCAACGATTCATCATTTATATGTATTAAGTATATATTATATATGTATTGTGGTTAATTGATGATTTAATTCGATTATGTTTGCGTTTGGCAGGTGCCCTGAGTGCGATGGCGCAGGGTTCGTCAGGAAATCGGGTGTGACGTTGAGGGCAAATGCAGCCAGGAAAGACCAGACTCAGATCGTTTGTGCTCGTTGCGATGGTTTAGGCAAACTCAATCAAGTTGATAAGTAGGCTGCTTATTGTCTTTTGCTTCTTTGAATCTATGGTTTTTGATTCTGGCATAAATGTTCTTTGTTAACTCACAGTCTAATTGATTATATATATAAAATGGTTTCCAAGTGTTCATGTAAATTAAGTCAGTTAAATCATGTAAATTGTGATTTGTGTAACAAACTTGTTCTTGAAGATCAAATGGTAATTACAATGTGGATAATATTGATAAGCATCAATGGTTTTTCTATAGAATAAGGGTAAGAAAAGATGGGATAATACCGATAAGCATGTCGATTCGTTAGAATTCATGGGATTCAACTCGTATTGAAATTCACTAACATTTTATTACGGCTTTTGGTTACAAATTAGCGTAGAATTGAATTCCATTAAAAATCCAATTAAGGAAGGAATTTAACTTCCCTTCCATAAAGTTGTGAAATCTAATTCAAATCCGCTCATATATGTAAATAAAAGTCGATTGAGATTTTTTTTTATCTATGATCATTTTAAGCTTTGCAAGATGATGCTTGTAAAGATCCTATCAGGATGAACTAATATTCCAATTTGTTTACAAGGACTTGTTTGTGCAGTATTCTTGTTTGTAGTTATATCTTGATATGGATGATATGGATGTTGGAATCAACTTTAACTTATTAAACAATAACCAATAACTTTTTAAATGTACAACTTTTTAGGCGATGTATGGGATTTTTTTAGCACAGGTGACAATCTATTGTGTTTAGAAGAATAACAACTAGAAGAGTGGATAAATAACTAGGTTATAACCCGTGCAAACCAAGGTTCAAAAAATAAAAAATATATTACCTAAATATAATAATCATTGTTCATTACATTACAAATCATTAATTTATTTACTGAGTGTTATGTGTTAATGTGTGATACATAGGTTCATAACTTAAAATAAAAAAATAATATGTTTTCATGTTTGATAATCCTTAAGAGATATATTTTCCCACTTTGACCTAGTTAAATCTCCTTTTCGAAAAGTGACTTTTGGAGTTAAATCTGGTCTTTCAGATGCAAATTTGTAAGATTTCGATATAAATGTAGAGATTCAATGTTCTATTATTTTATGATGTTTTGGTTCATGTAGGAAATTGGGCTTGATTATTTTTTTATTTCACGTTGTTTAATTTATTTGGTCTAATCTATTCGTTACTTGATCACAATTGATAGAAAATATAATATTAGTGTTAAAATAAAACTAAAAAAAATTAAAAAAAGCACGGTACTTTTCAATATACAATGATGTAATAAAATTTACATGAAAATACATGGCTATTGTAGGAATAAAAAAATATATTCCAATAATAAGAAGAAAACAAATGAAAAAATGATTGCTAATTCTTGTATTTAGCCATTTTCTTTTTATCTTTGTTTCCCCTATTAATAGAATCATACATTTCTTCTTCTCCAACCTCATCTTCTAACCTTCGAAGAACAAAATCAATTATGGCATTTAAGTTGGTAAAATCAAACCCAACACTTGCTAGGATATGATTGATAAGTAGGATGTTATTTAAGAATTAAAAGCTAAAAGTAGGATGCTATTTAACACTTAGAAATTAAACTTAGGATGTTATTAACACTTTTAAGTTAAAAGTAGGATGTTATCTAACATTTAAACTTAGGCTGCAATAAACTTTGTATACAGTCAGTAGTCAAGGTGAAACACAACACATGCACACACTGTAACACGTGTTGTAAAATCTTCTTGTAAATAGATAAGAAAACCTTATATGACGATCATTTTTTAAATATGTGCTAGTTAACTAAAATTACTTCAAAAATGTTTCTTGTAAAATTTTCTTGTCAATCATTTGCATAATTGAATTTATGAAATATATTACATCTAATTCCAAATTTATATTAATGTAATTTACTTACTTTCATTCATATTTGCCCAACCCCAGCAACACGCAATGCTATTTCATGCATTAAACCTTACTGACATGATGATTTTTAGAAAAAAAAAATATATCGAGATCTTTTTTTCTTAAAAATTTTCTTGACCTCTACCTGTATATTAAATTAAGTAATTTAAGTTAAATGTTATTTGTATAATTGTAAAAAAAATAAAATGTTACGAACATACCAGAAACTTGAGGGTCATGTTAGGACATGAATCATATTTATAAAGAAAAGAAAAAGGTTTAGCAAATAGAATATGATAAAGATTAATAGACAAATAAATTGAATGAAAAAGGTTTAGCATCTGTATTAAATAAAAACTTATGAATATAACAAAGACGTGAATAAGAAAATTTAAGTAAATAATGAATAAGCTCATGAAAAGAGTATCAGGATGCATCTTACTTTAGCCATTGGATCCACTTATGGAGAAATCATAATCCACATTCATCATTACATAGTAAATCTTTTTTTCTCCCACCTTTGAATCTATAAAAAAACACCCATTTATAACCAAAATAAACATTGCATGGTGGTGACGATAGAGAAAGGGAAGTTTGGGTGCGACCCTGCCTTGTATGTATGTGTGAAAGAAAGGAAGAACAATTCTTTTTCTCTCATAAAAATTAGGATCTTACATATAATAGAAATATTATTGGATATAGATGGAAACTCTATCAAGTATCAATTAACTCTTTCAAAATTCAAATTTAGGATCAATTGCTGATTTATAGGAGATTGCTCTGCAAGCTGGAATGAAATAAGGATGAGCGGGAATCAGAGAGAACGCTTCACAAGAAGATGCCAAGTGGCAAAATAAAAGTGTAGAAAGGTGACATGTGGACTATTAAAGTCTTTAGAAGAAAGAGATTAAATACTAATGATAAAGAGACTTGTCATACTTAACAACTTATTGGAATCCTTGAAACATATTTCTTCATCATATAAAGATTTTTCTTGTAACAACTTATTGGTTTACCTTGTTTCCCTTCAAATATATTTCTTCATCATATAAAGATTATTCTCCTTTCATGCACCCTTAGATGAATTTATCATTTATAATAGTATATACTCATTTCCAAAAGTATTTGATAAAATATTTAACATTTCCTTAGATGAGCAAATTTTAATAATGAGATAAATGTTATTATTGATTTTGCTATAGATAATGTAGCTATAATATCCAAATCAACTTGACGTTTATCTTCATAATTCTGGTAAAGTAAATTTTTTTAAGTGCAAGAGTGAAATCCAGTTGTGAGCACAAACATAGGTTTACAAGGACATTCATTTAAGATATCGTTCATGTGATGATTAGTAGTGTAAAGAGACATAACCAATTGTTTCTTCTAGAAAAAGAAAGTGATTTCTTGCAAAATAAGGATTTCTTGAGAGATTTTGGGCGTGCTCGATAAAAATAGCTGATAGCTGATAGCGGGTAGCGAGTAGCTTCTAGCTTCTAGTTGGTAACATTTTGTTAAACGCTACGTGAAGTAGTATTTGGATTTGGATCATTTTGTTTAAATTAAACTCTAGAATTTTGTAGTGCCAAACGAGGCTTTCTGTTAAAAACGGAGCGTTTTGTCAAACGCTAGAAGCTCTCAAATGCTTCGTTCTGAACAACCCTTTACATTTGATATAATTAGGAGCATTTTGATGATTGAGAATAGGGAAAGAATTTAAATTAGGTGTGAGTAGATATTGATCATTGAATAGAATCTTCTCTAATACCATTTATTATGTTGACCATGACATATACATTTTCCAGGGCCTTTATTATGACCAATACCTTTCAATGCAACTATTCTTATGTTCTTCTAGATATCCTTTTTACTTACATAAAGGATCAAGTGACCTGTACACTCTTGAATCGGTTGATAAATGGCAACACTTAAATATCTTCACAAATGATTGAATAGAATCTTCTCTAATACCATTTATTAGGTTGATCATGACATATACAATTTTCAGGGTCTTTATTATGACCAATACCTTTCAATGCAACTATTTTTATGTTCTTCTAGAAGGATATATTTTTAACTTAGAAAAAGGATCAAATGGAATGTACACTCTTGAATCGGTCGATAAATAGCAACACTTAAATATCTTCACAGATGATTTGGATCGGTCTTGAAAAATCGAGCCCGATTAATATATTCTTAAACTATTAGGTATAAGAAACATGTTAAGTCATTTTATCACATGTAATGTCACCCATGGTGTTATAACACCAACTGAGGAAATAGTGTTGAAATGTTAGACCATAGGGAGTGGGTGCGGTTTAGCCGCAACCCTTACCACGATGGTAGGAAGAATACCCCCCGTATGTGGTCTCCAATGCAGTCTCGCCACACTGCAGTCGAATTTGGCAGCGCTTTGCTTGTTCCTTTGACCATTTGAACGGTCAAAATGTTTTGAATTATTTTTATTTTATTATTTTTTTTACCTATATATGAAACTTATCATCCCTTAATTTACCAAACTTCAATCAAATTTCTTTATCTTTCATTATCTTTTTTTCAAAAACTCTCAACATGTCTTCTTCCAACAACCCAAACAATCAAACAACACCCATTAGAAATACCCCAACACCTTCTTATGATCAATCGATTTATTCTCCCCCTTTTATCACTATGGCGGTATGTTACCGTATTATCCACAACAATTCTCACAACCGTAACGACCAACACAAACACAAACACAACTACAACCTGTAACCGACCCGAATTTTAATCCGTTTAAATTTTTGTCTTAACCTGAATTTGTTAACAAACAAAATCACAACTTCAAACATCCATTTTTTATTCCAAAGCCGAATTCGTTCAATCGAGCACCAAATAAAAGAAAAGAGAAATCGGTGGTTAAAGGATGTGATCCCGAAGAAGTGTTCGTATTGGCACAATCATGGATCGATATTTTAGAAGATGCGAAAACATGAAAAGACCAAAAACATGATTGTTTTTGGATGTGGGTGACAAAAAGGTTCCACAAAAGAATGAAGTTTCTTCAGTATCATTCAAAACACCAAATTTACTCAAAATGGGGGAACACAAACAAGTAAGTCATGTTGTTTAATGATTTGTATAACAACTTGAAACGTCAATGTAAAAACATAGAAAGTGATGAAGTCATTTTGAAGAAAGCTCTAAAAGTGTACCAAAAAGATACAAGAAGACTTTCAAGTTTATTGACTTTTCGAATCTTGTGAAAGATAACAAAAAATGGCAAGTGAGCAAAACATCCGAAGAGCATATCGATAGTGGTTCAAAACGTTCAAGAACATTTGAATCCAACCACACTACATCTGATGCCCGTGTTGGTTTCAACCTCAATGATGATGTACCCGTTCAAGTTTCATCACCTTACCAACCAATGGGAAGGGACACAACAAAAAGCAAAGACAAAAGCAAAACGTCATATTCGGATGACTTGAAAAAACCAGGGACAATATGAAGGGTATAAAAGAAAGAATGAACAAATTTTTGCAAATTGCTTCCGAATGAGAACTTTGGAAACAAAAAAATAGTGACATGAAGACACTAATGATGGACACATCGGATATGACCAAGGAGGAGCTTAAAGTTGTTATGGCGATGAAAGCCGACGTCAAAAAACGTTATGCTAAGTAGGTATGTTTAAGATTGTAGGTTTTAATCGTTTGATGTTTTTTTGTAGGTTTAAGATTTCTAGTTTTCTCCCCTAAGTGTTTAGGCGTTTTTTTTTATATATATATATATATATATATATATATATATATATATATATATATATATATATATATATATATATATTATTAATACAAAAAGTTTCGTTTGGTAGTATGAACGTTTAACTTTTGGTTTAAACAAAACGCTTCAAATTTAAAAGTTACTTCATGTAGCATTTAACAAAATGCTACTGAGCTTTTGAAATCAATTTCCATAATTACCTTTAAAAATATATTAATATATTTATTTATTTTTAATCAATTGTCCTTTTATGTAATTTTATATATTTCAAAAGCTTCCAGCTACTTTTATCAAACACTCATATAAAAAATAAAAGTTACAGCTTCCCGCTACACGCGATCAACTACCCGCTTCCAGCTAACATCTACTTTTACCAAACACGCCCATAGTGATATTTTATGAACAAACAATTAAGTATAGATTAAGATTGTTGAAGAAAATAGGAAGAACTTAAAATAATAATATATTTATACAATGAGAAAGAATGTATAAAGTCATTATATATTCAATAAAGAATATTCCTTATAATATTTTATGAATAGTCCTTGTAATATTTTATGGAATTTGTATACACGTCCAACTAAATAAATAAGAGAGAAAGAACCACGCAGAATACTGCAAGTATTTATTAAAAAGTTGAATGTTTTGTTCCATAAAGAATATTCCTTGTAATATTTTCAGCAAAACTAGTTGGTAGCGGGTAGCTTGTAGCTTGTAGCGTTTTGTTAAACGCTACCTGAAGTAGCATTTGAATTTGAAGCGTTTTGTTCAAACTAAACGCTAGAAACTTGCAGTGCCGACGAGGCTTTCTGTTCAAAATTGTGCGTTTTGTCAAACGCTTGAAGCTATAAGCTCTCAAACGCTCCCAAAAGCTCCACGCCGAACACACCCAATACCGCAAGTATTTATTAAATGATCAAATATATATCTAACTAGTAATGCTTATTTCTTGGTACGTTATGTAATGATAGATTTTTTTTTATTGATTTATATAATTTGTGGGATGTATTTCGTTTCAAATCTATTTTTCTTTAAAAATTAAAATATACAAATATATTATAACAAATATTTAACCTTGTTAAATAATATGTTTTCATATAACTCGTGATATTACTAAACTTTTTAAATTTATTTTTATTCAGATTTTAAAAAGTCAATATTATTTATTATTTTACTAAATATAGTTAAAATGATATTTAGAAATAAAAGGAAAAAAAATAATAATATATATCTTTACGTAGTGTAATTAATGATGATTATTTATCATGAAACTGGAATAAGGTGTTTTCTTTTAAATTCAACATTTGAAGCTTTACATTTTTAAAAATAAACTATTACATTTTTATTTTTATAAAATAAAACAAGATATGGATTTTGAAACAGAAGGCAAAATCTAATGATGCAATCATACTTTGTTTTATTGTAGAATTTTACTTTTTTTTATTACAATAGTTTATATTTATTTTTATTAAGAGTTTAACTTTAAAAAACCTACATAATTATATCATTATACTTTCTTTGTAGAACATTTTTGATAATGCAAAAAGAAGCTGATTTGTAAACAATAGTTTTTATCCATACATAACAATCGATGCTTTAAAATATTATATTACTAGGTGTGAGACCCGTGTATTACACGGGTTTTTATTAAAAAATTAATATAAAATGTCAAGAATTACATGTTTTTTTGTATTAATTTTACATAAATACAAAAACCTATAATGAATAAAGTTACTATTTCAATATATCGACCCTAATAAAAGGATACATATTTCTAAAATGATGACGACAATAATGATGTAAACATTAAACACAAATTAATTAAAATTTGCTACACATAAAAAAACAAATGATGAATAAGCAAGTATATTTATATGTATTTTTTTTTTAACCGGAAGTAGATTGAAGTAGTATGTGATGTTCACTATTTTGTTTCCTATTAGTCTAAATGTATGTACAAAATATTTAGAAATGGTCCTATGATTCTATAAATTTTACTTAATTCTATTACAGTATAATGATCAAATCTGTTATCTCCCTTATCTCATTATTCATTTATTTTGTACCAAATAAACCATATTATCTCAATTCCCCTGTGTAATAAAATTCACATATCTTTACTACTTATAAAAGAAATCTAACTATTTCTATAAATAGATTGAATATAATAATATTATTTTTTTAAGACGTACAAACGATTAAGCTAATATTACAAACAACCATTAATAAAATAATATTAAATTTTAAATTTGTTTTGATTCCTTATATTTCTCAGCAAAATCCTAATTTCATGGTCATTCAAAATTTAAAACCTTTTCATCCTAATACGCTTCAACAAATATCCTTTAAATGTTGCATTTGCAGCTGATTAAAATATCTCATAGCAGACGTGTGTTTGTTCTCTCCACCTTATAAACCCTGCTATAAATCCCACTGCCATGAAGTATTTCCCTTATAAACCCTAATCGTTTTTCTCACTCTCTTAGACGAAGACAATGTGTTTTTTTTAAGAAAAAAAGTTTGAAAATATTCCAATTTCTCAAAAAAATTTACCCCAAATGCGAAACTGGGTAAAATTTTCCATTTTGCGAAGACTACAGGGATGCGAAATGAAAATTCTGCACTTTTGTCTTTTTATGACCCCATTTTGCGAAGTTGGACCACTTATATTATTTCTTGAAAAGATCAGGTGCCAAATGCGAAACTCTAAGCTTTCTTCCCCAATTCGCATTTATACATTAAAAACTTCGCATTTTCATTCAAATTCTTCGCATCTTGCATCCATCCGTCTTTGAGTTCATTCGCATTTCATCGCATTAACTGAGAAATTAATCAGTTGTCTCATATTCGCATTTCAGTTGTTTGAGAAACCCAGATACGAACCCAAATGCGAAACCCACTGATTTCAAATGCGAACCAACCAAAAATCATCAACCACGTACTTGTGTCACCAAATGCGAACTGAATATCACCATTAAATTCTCCTCGCATTCCATAGATGCGAACACAATCCAGATCTCCGACTCCAAGCTTGCGAAATCAAAATCAATTAACCTCAAACAAATCGTGAACTTCTTATGCGAACTGTTTTGACCCACAAAACCAAATGCGAACTCAATTGATGTCATATGCGAACTGATTTCATAGATGCGAACACAATTGATTTCATATGCGAATCCACATCCATCGATATGAAACCAATACCAGTTACAAGCAATTAGTAGCAACAACCATCGATCCTCTAATTTTCAATTACTCAGCCTTCGCTTTTCATACAACCCGTCGACCCTGAAAAATCGATAAACACCAAATGTCTCATTTTTAGATCGATTTTCTGATTAAATGTCATATTTGAAGAATGATCGATTTTCTGATTAAATGACCCCATTTTGCGAAGTTGGACCACTTATATTATTTCTTGAAAAGATCAGGTGCCAAATGCGAAACTCTAAGCTTTCTTCCCCAATTCGCATTTATACATTAAAAACTTCGCATTTTCATTCAAATTCTTCGCATCTTGCATCCATCCGTCTTTGAGTTCATTCGCATTTCATCGCATTAACTGAGAAATTAATCAATTGTCTCATATTCGCATTTCAGTTGTTTGAGAAACCCAGATACGAAGCCAAATGCGAAACCCACTAATTTCAAATGCGAACCAACCAAAAATCATCAACCACGTACTTGTGTCACCAAATGCGAACTGAATATCACCATTAAATTGTCCTCGCATTCTATAGATGCGAACACAATCCAGATCTCCGACTCCAAGCTTGCGAAATCAAAATCAATTAACCTCAAACAAATCGTGAACTTCTTATGCGAACTGTTTTGACCCACAAAACCAAATGCGAACTCAATTGATGTCATATGCGAACTGATTTCATAGATGCGAACACAATTGATTTCATATGCGAATCCACATCCATCGATATGAAACCAATACCAGTTACAAGCAATTAGTAGCAACCATCGATCCTCTAATGAGGAAACAGTTTCCTATTCGATTGTGCTTTGCAATGACAATCAATAAAGCTCAGGGACAAACAATTCCATATGTAGGTATCTATCTTCCAGAACCAGTATTCTCGCATGGACAACTTTATGTTGCATTGTCCAGAGGGGTTTCACGTTGCAATACAAAAGTATTAGTAAAGCCTAACGAAAATTCAAAAGGTGATGGGGTTTATACAGCAAATGTGGTGTATAAAGAAGTATTGCACGATTAATATTTTGTGTCGTCTTGACTGGTTGCTTTTTATTGGTTATTTGATGCATGATGTAACAAATAACACCATAGTTTGATTATATTGTCTTCAACATGTACTTTTTTTAAGCCACTGACTTAAGTTATACTGAATGAATAACATGCTGGGAATTGATAATTTGATACTGGTATAAATGTTGAGTTTTAACACTACAAAGGGCTTTCCCTAAGCCACTGAATTAAGTTATACTGAATGAATGAATAAAGTTTTGGACCCTTGGTCATACATCAATCATAAATAGTTGGGCACAACAAAAAGTATTAGTATTTTTCAATTTCATTAATGAACATCAAAACAATAAAAAGTCACAATAATAGTGATAATAGATCATTTCATTATTTTTCCTGTTTCCATTCCATCACACAAACCAAATATAACCACTTTCAAATAAGTAGGAAAACACATCAAACAACAAAGTTGAAAAGAAAGATGCATAACAATTAATTATTTTTTTTAATTAGATTGTTGTAAATGGTTTCAGGTTTGAATCCCAATGTTGAAAGCAAGGACTTAGGATGGAAAACAGGGTATAGTAGTTCATTATCAAAGAATGGTCAGTTGTAATGTTCTGCAATTCATCATCAAGTTGGACACACAGGAACATAAAAACTGTTAAGCAGGTACACACACATACACATTGATAAACATAAACTGATGTAAAAAAACAACACACATTAAAAAAAACACAAAAAGAAACAAAAGATAAACAAAAAAATTTGAAAGTAGTTTTTTATAAACTTACAGAAATGATTGAACTCTGTGATTGTGATTGAAAACACGATTTTGCACTGTGATGATGCAAAAATTTGGAACAGGATGTTGTAATAAACTCAATATTTCAAGAGACAGTGAAATCAGAAGAATTAGAATGAGTTAGACATAATAAGTAATTTATAATAATTATTTTTGGAAAGGATATCAAAGTTTGGTTTGAAATTATAGAGTAATCCAAAATTTTAGCTGTCATGAATCAATCTTTGAAATGTTTCCCAAGTTAGCGTGATATTGATATTGAAACTGCTGACCAAATTTTTTCATGATTATAATTGCTCTGTCATTCTAATAGTAATTCCTGCATATTAGGCACTAACTTCTTACATTATAAAATCAAATTGAAAAAAAAAACGTAAATGAGGATTCCATAAATTAAGCTACTATATAAAGATAGAAAAATTAAAATCCATGAAAACAAATATCTTCCTTTTTTATTGTAAATTTCTCTTGCATCATGCCACAATTAAAAGTTTTGGAAAGTGATGATCGATCAATACGTATATGGGGGTTGAAACAGTAACATGTGAAACAGAAAGGTAAAGGGAAATTGGTATCTGGAAATGAAAATGGAAATGGTGTTCACTATTGCAATGGAGCAACAACTTGAATAACTTGTTTTTCGTGTAAATACATAGACTTGTCACTTGACTTGCTTACTCACCAAACACGACCAATGGATATTTGTAATTGACAGAATTGTGTTAATGTTATTTAAGAAGGAATTGACAGAATTGTGTTAATGTTATTTAAGAAGGTTTATTTGAAATTAATGCCTCCCTTGCAAAAATTATGTGAGCTTTTATGTGAGCAAAAAAATTAGAATTTGCCAAGTGGAATTAAAAGTAATTGGAAAAATAGATTAAATGTCATGTGGCATATTAAATAAGGTGATGACATGTGGCAATGTTATTTTCTTTTATTAGGGTAGATACAACTATATAATACATAAATTGTTATGTATGACAAAAACTATTATGTACTAATCTTTTCTCAGCGCAAAAGGTAAAGTATATTACTACGTCTTAATTGTATTTCACATGATTTTCGGATATTTGAAAAATAAATAAATATATTCTTAAAAGCACTTTTGTGGTTATGCAAACTTGCAAAGCTGGAACTCCGAACACAATTTAGTTTCCTTAACACACAGAAAAAGCCACGCCAAACCCAAAGTAAAAAAGAAGCATAAGAAACGTGTTCCAAAAACGAAAACTTATAAACGTTTTCTCTCCTCTGATCATCGATTACTCACGCCATTCACTCCAGCAATCCTAAATTCACAACACCCATTTCCCCAATTCCTCTTGTTTACTCTAATTTCAAGTCTAATCGCAGGTACCCATCTCTGTTTCCTGTTGAATTTCGGTCTCGTTTTCCCTAAATCCGTCTTCATTCTCTCAAGAACTTTTCTATTTTGATTTGATGTTTGAACGAATGTTTGATTTTGTGTTTGTGTTCTTCGTGTTGCAGTGATCATATGGAGAATTGGAGAAAGAAGGGTAATAAATATACTCAAGAGCCTCCAAGATTAAATTCTCATAATTATTACGGAAACCCACCTCTTGGTATGATTTCGTAACCGCTGTCAATAATTTTACAACTCTTTGCATGCCGATTATCTGCTTAACTGTTGTCGTATAGATTTTTCTGTATCTTCAAAAATCATGGGTAACTGTTTCTTGTTTGCATGCATTTTAGTTGTAGTCGATGTTCGATCATTACTTGTATGCATTTGTTCATAGCTAATTGCTATAATATTGGGTTGAAAGATTACAAAGCCCTCTGTATTGTTTTTAAAAGCAATGTTTCTTTAATTTAAGATTTCCACGTTTTTGGTCTTGACTGCAAGATTCATTAGGAATGCCCTCTGGTTAACAAATGGAGACTTTGGAAAAAAAAAATCCCTTGTTTGTTTTTGCTTTTGACTTTTCCACATGGTAGTAAGCCAGAATTGTTGTTTGGTATTCTAGGGTTTTCCTTTTTAGTGTCTCTTTGATAGGCTTTCTTCATCTTCACTAGTTCTTAGAACTGTGGGACCAGTTGGTTTGGGTGCCTAGTGGTGGCCTTTACCCTTTTCATTCTTAGAAGTTACAACTGTAAGTTTCCTATGGTGGTTCTTTCTTAGGTCTCACTTTTATCTTCCATTGTCTTTTCTGATGTTTTTTAATTGTCCACATGTTTGACATAGTAGTAAAGAGTTGAGAATCCATAACTGATGACACTGTGATTTACCTCTCTCATGTTGGCCGTGGAACTGCCATAATCTATTTTTCCCTCATTGTAACAATTTGGGAAGAAAAAAGTACCCTCAACTAGCTCAATTAGTTATGTGTTCCATATTTTAGAATGTTTTTATTTATATGTACACGTTAAGAATAAAACTCGTTAGGAACCTTGACCTTTCACGTGGACGTGACCACCAAAAGATTTAACATGCAAGAAGGCGTAACGGATACGTTAATGGTTTAACAAGTTATCATGAATAATAAACACCTAAAGCTTACACATCCCTACATAGGGCGTGTACAATGTTTGACATGCATTAGACCAGGACTCGTATTAGAAAGATATCTACCGAATGAATTACTAAATTCCTTCTTAGTCAGCCTCTTTCCACCATTCACACCCTATAGAAAGTGTAAATTTTCTTTAAACGTAGTTTTTACAAGATTTTCTTTTTTTCACTCATCCGAATAAACAATCAAACATGTTTTCAGGTGGGAATTCAAATTGGCAGCAGAGCGTTCCATCGTGGGAGAGAAGATTCATAACATCCATCGGAGCAATGTCATGGAAGAAGTTTTTGGAAGCAAAAGCTTACGCACATCTCTATGAAAACATAATGAAGTGGAACGATTCTGCTGGAGAAGAAGCATTCCAAACTGCAAAACATAATTTCCATGCACAAATTCACGGTCTTCCATGCGACATTAAACCGCATAATCCCGACTTGTATATTGATCAAATAGATTGGAATGAGAAAACCAACCACAATCTAATTCTAGACTTGAATTCCGATTCCATGGCTCCCGATTCCGACAGCAACCGTGAACCGGTTGTGATCTTTGGGGATGCCCTCCCGGATCCATATAAAAACTACTCCCCCGCGGGTTGGGGAGTTGAAAGCAAAACTCGGGATTGTCAGAATAAGATGCCGGAAGATTGTAACAACGGGGTTGTTTATGATGATTATGTGAATAATTGGGATGTAGATTTAGAAGCTATTAATCCTCAGAGTGAAAATGACAATAAAGCCCATGGAGATCAAGGTTGGAACAATGACAATAACGGCTGCCAGGGTTGGAACAACAATATTCATTATCGAAATGTGAATAATGGGGGAGGGAGGCATAGAAGTTGGAGGTTTAATGGGAATAATGATTGTTCTTGGAGGAATAATGGGAATAGGAGGAAACCAGTGGTTCAAGTCCATGGGAATCAATGGGTTCATAGGGTGCACCCGTGAGGTTAATTATGCAGATGGTTTTCGTTTTCTTGAATGTAAAGAAAACGTGTTGGCTTACCGACGCTTTCTGCTAGTTTTGTTAGTTAGTTATCTTGGGGAAATGTTTAATTAAATTTTGGAGAGTTTTGAGTAGGAGTTTGCGTACATGTTTTAATGTGATGTTGATAAGTTTTGTCGTCATAAAACTTTGTTTTTTGGGCACCAAATGCTTGGACAAATCGGGTCCTTGTTGTGACAATACAACCCATCAACATCATTTCCTGATATGGATTAGTAATTAAATATCTAAAGTTCTGCAAGGTTTACTTTTTGGTTAAGTGGTTTCTGTTTGGAGAAAATGCTACATAAATAAACGTTGTTTTTTTAGTGTTGAATGAAAAATGAACTCTTTTTTTTTTTTTGAGCCACTCGAAATAAAACATGTTACAATTTTTGAATGATGAACTATAAGATTGTTATCGTTCGTTAGATAAAAACCAAAAAAAAAAAAAGTTCTATGAACATATTTCAATCTAGATTATTGAAATTAACTTTGCTTTTGACACGTTAAAGTAATTTTATGTTAAAGCGATTTTATATTTAGGTGGAATGCAAATGGGCAACAAGCTCCGTAGTTTATCATTTTTGGATGATAAAACTAAATTTTTTAAAAACTGTATTCATAGATCTTTGGGTCATAATATTATTATGTATGACCTGTTAGACTATTGTGGGAAACTTCGCAAAGAAACCAAAGGTATCAAACATTAATAGTATACAGTTAAATGTTAGTTGTTTTTTCTTTCTAAGTATGTGTGTTCGTCATTAGATAACCAATGATTTTTTTTATACAACTAACTCAATCCGGTCATCTATTGGATATCAGATATTGTCAACGAATCTAATCAAATTGGCTATGGTCAACCAAACCTAGCCAATCCAATTTGACATTGTATTTGATGGATTTTATCAATTGAATATTTATTGTTGGATATTCAATATGTTCAATCGGATCCATCCGGTGTCCATCAATTCTTTCAGCAATTTTCTTCCAGTTTTAAAACCAACCAAAACAACATAGGTAAATTATTTAACAAATTAAACATATCAAAATATACTTCAAATTTCAAATTTGATAGTTCAACCAAAATACTATAGTTTAAAAGAATCCTATAAGCAACGAAGTTAATGTTCAAACAAATTAAACATATCAAAATACAATAGCTATTTCAAACTTTCAAGTATCCAACGAAGTTAATGTTCAAACTTTCAAGTATCCAACCGTATGCTGCGACGATGCCAGTACGTTTTGTAAATTGGAATTTGACGATTGTATTGATAAAAGTTAGACATCGTTCTATGTGTTGATAAATAAATATACAAAGTTAATACCATTGAAAAAACTTTTGGTTGATGGGGTAATAG